AAAATTACTTGTTGCTTTCTTGAAAAAGAAATTAATGAAGGATTATATCATTTTCCCCACTTCAGTAAACAATGCAAATCAATATTAGTTACTGTAATCACAAAATAAGAAATGTAAAAGTTAAAATGAAACAAATATCAAAGTTTATAAATTTGCATACTTGATGAAACATTATGGCCTTTCTTTTGGTAACTCCCAATCTGGATTGTTATCAAAACATCAGAACTGCAACAACCATCACAGATCTTTATAAACCAGAAAAACCAAACGTTAAGTGTGGGCCCTTTCCTTGGTTCATTGAAAAGAGAAGAAAATCCACTGTGTCACTTGGGTCATGGACATTTGCCTACCTCTGTAATAAGTCATGATCCCCTGGATGTTCATATGGAAGCTGTCCCAAACCAAAAGCACTGAAAACTCCAGATTTCTGTTTCTTCTAATAACATCTAGTAGTAGTGGTCGTGATGGTGGTAATAATAACAACAGTATACTTTTGCGTGTTTTGTGCACTTCACTTTGGAGTTGGAAGGAGCGGAGAAGCATAGCATATATCACACAAAATGTGATGCCTGTTGCTTTCATCAGTAGCTGTGCGCCATCCATAGCATTTAATTCTGATCTCTGTCTATGAACTAATTTTGCCTTATAATGATATTAATAAAATTCAACACACACTGACTCACAGAGATCTCCACTTCTGTACAGCCTAGCCTGGCCCTGCAGAGAGAAACATGATCAAAGCACCTACTTACCACTATCAACAGCAGTTTCTAGTGAGGCTTAGCAACTTAAGTCCACATGAGCAGCGTTTGAGTCCCTTTGCTGTAAGTTTTCTGATGGCAGTGGAAGAAATGCATCATTGCCACTTGGTTGGAGAAAAAGAAAGAGTGTGACTGTACCTCTGTGCATTTCTCAAGTATTCAGCTTGAGCAAACTGAGATACACAAACTGAGGAACATTTCAGTTCCTTACCTGCATTTAAATGCTGGCACATTGCATAATATTTTGAGATGAATTCTGTAGTGGTTTGTGCTTTGGAATATAACTCTAGAAACCAGGGTTTGAATCCCCATTCTGACATAGAAACTACTGTGTGATCTTGGATAAGTCACACTGTTTCAGAGAAAGGCAATGGCAAACTCCCTCCAAATAAATCATGCCAAGAAAAGAAAACCCCATGACAGGGTCATCTTGAGGCTGCCTATAGACCTCATCACATTTGCAGCTGGATTTGCCACACATAATTGTTCATTCAGCAGTGCCCAGTGTGGAGTGTGGATAACTTGTTGCCTCATGCTCCGTATTGCCTGGCTTCCCCCTTACCTCATCCCACAGGGGGAAGCGTCCACCACCCAGCTTCTCCCCATTGATCTCTATGCAACATGGGAAGCCTCCTGTGTTGCTGCCATGGTAGCATATGCTGGTTCCCCTTCATCTTTAACCACAGAGCCCTGCCAGAAGTAGCTGTGCATTGTGGGATGGGAGCTGGTGGGTTCCATGGCAAAAGAGAAAGGGAACTGGTATACACCGCCAAATTCAGCCCTGTCTGATGAGGCCATAAGAGGGAAACAACCTGAAGGTACACAACAACATATTATGTTGTATAGGCTGTGTCAAGAAATATCATGCCATGTTCAATTATATTTGGAAAACATTTTCATTTCCATGCCATCTCTACTGAAAAATTAGCTTTCTGTTCTCTTATGTAAAAAGAGCTAGGACTGTAGTGGAACACTGTTCATGTGGCATGTTTGACTGTTAATTTTATTCCTAAAGATACTGTTTTCTGAACATATGATTAGCACTCTCAAGAGCCGACATGGTAACACCAACCTGGTTGGGTAGGCAGGATATTGAGTTGTGGCTTAATTATTAATTGTTATCTTGAAAGGCACACAGATGGGTTACATGCAAGGCATTCAGGGCTGTAACCCATATTTAGGGTGGTCATTTGAAGGAAAGACCACCTAATTACTGTTTATGCAAATGTCCTACGCAGTTCCTGACTGGCTTCTGCTCTGCTCCCTTCCCTTTCTATGGGTTTGTTTTATGGTTTGATTCAATCATGTTTATATCCTGATCTCATTCAGTCGGACACATTTAAGAGTCTATTGAGGGCAACAGTCTTAATTGCACACATCTTCCATTCATTCCCACTTTACTATAAATGTTGTTGGAATGCCTTTTGCTGGAAAATTATTCACAGCTGCAAAATATCTTGATTTTTTAATGCCTAGAAATAAAAATCAAAGACATTTGCTGCATCCCTCATATGATCAATCTTGGTATGTCTGTAGCTTAATGGCTTCAATATCAGCCTATATTCCTCTTGATTTTTAAAATAATCATGGCAAAACTATTTCTACTTCCCTCCAAGAAGTCAGATTATAGCCCAAGGAAAGCAATAACAGCTTTTTATTCCTGGCTTTTGGAAGTCCCAGACAATAGGGATTTATACACTGGTAACTCTGACAGATCCCTAATTATAACAAAAGCAAGATTTTGATCTTGGTTCAGCTTGAGGGATTTTATGATCAAAGCTAGGCCTTCTTTTAATAGGAACCGGCAATAAAAAGACTAGTGCTTTTCTTAGTCTATCATCTTTTTTATTGTATACTCAATGACTGAATTTTTTCACCATCACTTCCCATTAGGATGGGAAAGGACTAGAATAATGACTAGAATAAAGAGAATGCAGTGAAAAATATGCTGACACTAACACTGTGCTCACATCTGGTAGGCACCATAGTCGAGTATAAGTTACAGCCTGTCAATCACAGTAGTTTAGTTCCTAAGTACAGGTTAGACAGAGAGTTAATGAAAATAGAGAAAGATATTATGCTAAGGTTTATCAATTCTGAATATCTGATCATACATTCATAGAGCTGAATATCATTGATGTATTTAGTTTAATATTAATATCCTACCTCATTGTTCAAAACCTCCAACCTTGAAGTGCCCATCAAACAACAATACCAATACATTAAACATAATTCAAGTCTTGTGAATTTAAAAACTAGCAATCAGTGGCTTATGGGACATTTTCTGACCTCCACCATGAAAATCCTAATATTTTCTGATGACTCACCCAAGGGAGTTATAATAAAAGTGCCCTGTGGCCTTAGGAGTCACTATGTGTGCAGAATCAAATGTGTTTTACCCAGAGTGATAATACGCAAAGAAGAATCATAGTTAAATAAATTCAGATGAAACAAAACAAAACATATTCTTCTTGCACTGTGAGGTTTTTTTCTGACTATAATGAATTCCAGTGCCTTCTGAAATGTAAGAAAGCTCGGTTTCTCCAAATGAGGCCAGCCTATTGGCAACCAAAGCACATCAATCCTGCTTTGCTGCATCATAGTTTACTGTAAAAAAAACAGTATGGCATATTTTTGCCCCAACACTCTTCATCGTCCAGGACACAAAAGTGTCTCAATGGGGAAATCAATAGATTTACTTGGACATGTTTTTCTCTCAGCTATTTTTGATAAGATATTCATGTATGGGTTGAAGATGTGCATGGAAAGTCACTAAAATCTAGGGATATTTACAATTCAGGTGGCAATATTGTAGAGTGTATACATAGCAGATCTATTCCTTGGTGACTTTGACAATAGTGAATGGACCAATGGAATGACTATGGATTTGAATTTGGACAGCATGATTTTAATATCTGTATTGAAATTGTGTTTATGGGTGGGTTTTAATATAAATGTTATTGTATTATTGATGTTTATTTTTTATGTCTAAATGTCATTTTATGTTTTATGTTTTAATATGGTTAGATTTAAAAAATTAGTTATATGTTATTGTTTAGTTATTATGTTTTGGTTTTCACATGTATGTACGTCATTTAATTTTGCCTTTACTATGTTGAAAACAGCTTTGAGTTCCCTCAGGGGGAGATAAACAGTATATAAATGTAGTAAATAAATAAATAACAACATGTCACTCTAGGGGGCTAAAATGTCTCATTCTAGTACATAAAAGAGTGAGATCATTAGCAAATCAACAAATAAATCACTCCAGTGTTAAAAAATATTTTATTACAATGTACATAAAAATAATGGCTGACATCCTACATTGTCATTGCTGATTTGTAACCTAAATTAGAGCTCTATAACTGCTCCATATTAGGAATATTAAATTCCTATTTCTTCCATCCCGGTGTGCAGGAAAATCCATCTCTTTTTTTTTGTGCCCTGTCAGGAGATCTTGGAGGTGTTGCCACCCAATGGAGCTTTTCTCTAGAAACTGTACAGCTGTCATTGAAATGTACTGGGTACTATATTTCCACAACTTACAGACAATTTTCCTCCCACCCCAAGGTCCAATGTTGTACAGAAATTGTCACCTGTGAAAACATGGGGGCTGATGGGGAGGAGAGATGTTGCGAGAAAGCTGATGGCTCTTACTGGCTAGCTGCACTCTCTAGCCAAGATTTCTGTGAAAAATTGGAGGAGACGTTATGGAAGAAAGTTTCTGGGGGTGGGGAGTTGTGAGCATTTTGCATCTGATAGTCTTCTGTCTGATTTTCCCACAACTTCCCTTCTTCCAAGCACTACAATCTTTTCCCACCTTATGGCTTCTGTGCAATTTTTGAACTAATGGGAAGAGGGTCGGGGGCAGAATTTAGGGAAAATAGTACCCAGTATATATCAGCTGGAATTGCTGAGCTGTGGAGCTGTGCATCAAGGACTGTGGTAAAGAAGAAGGGCTGTATAATTTTAAAACAATTCACTGACCAAGCTACAGACTTTCATTACTCAGAGCCTTGAGTTCAAGATGGGCTTGGGGGACTGATTTCTTCAGTTATTTATAACAACATTTATCTAGATAGTAGGTATGTGAGCAATGCCTAAACACCATCCCAGTTTCGGTTCCATTTTTAGCCCCCCGCTGTCCTGTTTTCCAAGAAATTCCCAATATCTGGAAAAGAGTGGCATTTTTTTCCAGTAATATTTGGTCCATTGGCTTGTTTCTCTGTCATTTTTTAGACCTATCACTGTGCAAAGAGCTGCTAAGAAAGCAAGGTCCTGGCGAGACCCTCTCTGGAGGAGAAGCCTAGGTAAGCCTTCCCCCCCCCTTTTTTTTTTCTCCATTTCTCTCTTCCTCTTTCTGGCCTTATTTTCCTCAAGTGGGTGCTCAGACATGAAGAAGGGGGGCTTCAGGAAGGGATGAAGGAGGTTGCTGGGGAAAAAAGAGTAGGAGCCAATACTGCCAGGCATCCACTCTTGCCTGATTTGCGAGGCCTTCCACATGTCACTGCCTCTGCCTCAAGTAGAGTGCTGCTGAGCCCATCATCCTTATTAGTCAAAGATCTTGCTTCTCATGATCCAATCAAGTCTTCAGCTGGGTCCAGCCAGGTCTATTTTTGGCGATCTGGCAGCCGGATTGCCAAATTTTCCCAAATCCTGTATCACCAAACAGAATCATGCACACTTCTAGTAGATGTGACCTATACACTAGGCATGTATGAGTAATTTTGGGTGAAATTTCAAAGTTTTTATAAACAACTTAAAAAAAACTACAAGACCTGTCTCTTTGAATTTTTTATACAATGGCACAGTATAACAGGGGATCATTTTCCCCAACTTTCAGAAATATTCATACACCTACTGATTTTAGGAAATTTAAAAAAGTTTTGACAAAAACATTTCTTTTAAAAAGTCATAACAGCTATAGCACTGAAATATCTCATATTAACAAATAGAACTACCATTTAGGGATTTCCTCCTGCCTACCTCCACCCTGCAAAAAAAAAAAAGGAAAAGTGAAAAAATATTATTGTATAATGTCATATAAATAGTTGCATGCACTGTTTCCCTTGTCCTTCTCAAAAGTAAATGCAGAAACCTATTTGAGACCAGATATTCTGAGAGCCCTTGAGATTATCCCTAAATAGTCATGACCCTTGAAATTCTTCTCCCACAATATACCAGCTAATGATTGCAAAAATAAAAATAAAAAAAGATTTAACAAGAATATCATTTTTTTAATCTGCTCGGAAAAACTTTGAAAAAATTGCAGGTCAACAGGGAAGAATTAAGCATTCATCTGCATGGTACAGGCAAATTGACCTCCTGCACATGCAAGCAGCACATTTGAAACAAAGAAAGGAAGACTCTAGCTATAGTGCTGTGTATTTAACAGGTCACTTACCATTTGAAAGGTAAAGGTTTCCCCTGACATTAAGTTTAGTTGTGTCTGACTCTGGCGGGTGGGGTGGTGGTGGTGGTGCTCATCTCAATTTCTAAGCTGAAGAGCTGGCGTTGTCCATAGAAACCTCCAAGGTCATGTGGTCAGCATGACTGCATGGAGAACCATTACCTTTCTGCAGAAGCTGTACTTATTGATCTACTCACATTTGCATGTTTTCAAACTGCTAGGTTGGCAGAATCTGGTGCTAACAGCGGGAGCTCACCCCACTCCCTGGATTCAAACCATCAACCTTTTGGTCAGCAAGTTCAGCAGCTCAGTGGTTTAAACATTTTACTGCCATTGAAATCAGTGGGATAACTTAGACATCACTAACATGTAATTCATCCAGTATGAGCCATCTATTGTGCTAAGTTCTTAGAGATTTGGTAAACAATTCAAAATAATATCTCATAATTTTTTTCATCAGCCCCACATTCCACTTTTAAAGTAAGCAGTCAGTTGATGATTCATTGCTTTTCTTCAGCATCTTTTATTTAGACACATATTACTGTCTCATGTGGGTGTTTTATTTGGATAGTTTAGCTAATTGCTCTTCAGCAAGATCTCCTTTAAAGGACCTTTAACAATATTTATGTGAAATTTCTCCAATGGTGTAATCTGCTGTTTTGAAGTACATATACCCAACATCCTGAATTTCTTTTCTAGGTGATAGTATTGTAAAATAGAACCAATTCTGTCAGATGCATTGTGCATTTCAGTTATTCAACTTGCTGCCTCAATTACCTAAAGCTCCTGTTACTGTAGGGTACATTAGGCCATCTTAGAATATGACATAACAGAATAGAATAGCTTGGAAATGTGTTGAAGAAAATAAGGTGTGCCAAGACTAAGCAAAACTCATTTGTTTTTGGGCAGTTTTATGGTCCTATCGCCCAAGTGAATTCTGAAAGATATTAATGCTACAAGAATACAGATAAGAAGGGAAGAACGACTAGGGAGAGCCTGATCCTTGAATCTTGCCATGGTATACTTGCAGCACAGTATCCTTTCAGCTAGTTTGGCAATTTCAATTGGACTTTGAAGGCTGGACAACCCAGGAGCAATTTATGAAAAAAACAATTGATTGCATGTAGTTAAGATTGTTTGGAGAAAACTTCTGCAATTTGTATCAGTCTTTTAAGTTTCAGGCATGGTTAAAGTATAAGAAATTTTCATCATTATTTTCCATTTTATGCTTCAGTTGCTCTCACAGTTGACCCAGCACTGAACGAAAGAGTACAGAAAACACATCTGAGTGATATCAGCTCTATAGTTTGTCCATATTAAAAAGGAAGTGTTCCAGGTGGTGGGTTTTAGAAACAGCAATAATCACAATCATTTGCAGTCCTAATATTCTGCAGAGTGGAGCAGCTATTGTACCTGTGGCCTTCTGAAGGTCTTTTTCTCTTGTCAGGAGTGACCTGAGGGACTGCAAGTCGCTTCTGGTTTGAGATAACTGGTTGTCTGCAAGGACATTGCCCAGGAGACACCTGGATGTTTGATGTTTTACCATCCTTGTGGGAGGCTTCTCTCATGTTCCCACATGGGGAGCTGGCGCTGACAGAGGGAGCTCAACCCACTCTCCTCAGATTCAAACTGCTTCACAAGGTGAAAAGGAAAACAAGATGGTGCCCTTCCCTCACCATGACAAAAAAATGGCAGATTGGTAACTAACTCTCACTTGAATAGTAATGATGAAACAACATCTTCCACTGCAAATTAACTTAAAAAGTGAAGAGCAGAAACTGTCTATATACTATGCAGCTGTGACTATAACAACAGCTAATATCTGAGGTATTCACAATCTGGCTACACCTAACATATGTTTATCGAGTCTCATTCATTTAATAACACAAACAAAAGAACAATCTTGGTGTCTTGGTTTTTATGACTGTCAGAAAATTGCATTAGATAGACCACATCAGTTCTCTCACACCAGAAGCAACTTGCAGTTTCTAAAATCACTCCTGACACGAAAAAAGTTCTAGTTCCTTAGATATCATGATTTCTTTTGAAAAAGCAGATGGCCACTGGTATATGGCATATTTTCTGTATCTCAAATGCTAGAGCTGATTGGGGAAAACTGGTGCCATTTTTGTAATCAGCAGGTTGAATATACCAAGAAATGGTCTAAGGCTTGAGGCGCCAAAATGTGTGTTGGCCAGTGTAATAGTACTAGAGATGTTTTTACTAAGCCAATATGCTGTGGCTACCTTGGCAGCTGCAGTCTTTGCTCATTCTGGCTAGAGATATAAAGAATGTTTGAAAATATCTGAAAAAATTGTTTTAAAACCCCACATGTTTCTAGGGTATTGGGAAACCCTGAGGAACTGGACAGAAGAAAGGGATCTTTGAAAATTGCACGCTTCTTTCAAGATTCCCTCCTAGCAGCAGGAGCATGGCTAAAGTATTTCTTGATTCCTCTGAGAATGAACTCATTGAAGAAATGTGTTCTCAATTCTGAGGATGGCAGCTGCTCCCCATGGTAAGGTGGTACAGATACATTGCAAAAGCATAACACATCCAAGAATGACGTTATGACAGTGTCAGTAATGTCAACATTTCCATATGCTTTGCTCTCCTCCAGGCATGTGGATGAATGTGAGAATAGTGTCACCCATAGAAACAGAGAAACCTGTGCTTGCTGCGTCTTCTGGTGAAAGTGAAAGGATCCTTTCTCCCATAAAGAGGAGCTTCAAAAGACATGGTAGAAGGGTATGACTCAAACATAACCTTTCTCTGTATTAAGCTAGCATGAACTGATTTTGTATTTAGGCAATTGTAATAGTTGACAGAAGGGAAATGATTATTCTAACTTTATTTTCATCTGTTAGCAGATCTCTGCTGCTGCATAGTATTATGTTCATATATTAATCTGATCTGTAGCTGGGATGTTTAATCTGGTTTGTATATTACAGTTTTTGTTATATTTTATTGTTCATGGTGTATTGCTTATTTTATTCTGAGTTGAGGTGTTTTATGTTAATTTCCATGTGTTGTTTATTTTTTATTGATTTAGGCTAATTTCTGTTGTATATTCTATGTATTTTGTTTTGCACTGTTTTTGTCTTGTAAGCCGCCCCAAGTCCTTCCGGGGAGATGGAAAAGAATATAAATAATGTTTATTATATTATTATTATTCATTAAAATTAAAATTGCACTATAATATGGTCAAGATCAGAACTTCACTGGAGGGAAGGATATAAGAGGCAAAGATGAAGTACTTTGACCACATCATGAGAAGACAGGAAAGCTTGGAGAAGATAATGATGCTGGGGAAAATGGAAGGACAAAGGAAGAGGGGCTGACCAAGGGCAAGATGGATGGATGGTATCCTTGAAGTGACTGGCTTAACCTTGAAGGAGCTGTGCGTGGTGACAGCAGGCAGGGAACTCTGGCATGGACTGGTCCATGAGGTCACGAAGAATCGGAAGCGACGGAATGAATAAACAACAACAGAATTTCTTAATTTTTCTTCTTCTCATGATCCCTTTCTGCATGAAAAAAACATATGCCCCCAGGTATATAGGTATATAAAATAGATATACAAATTAAACATTTGCTGATAAAAACATTTGGAAGACTAGGTAAAAACACTGATTTCCCTTTATTGTGAAATACAGCATAAGCATTTTGCAACTTTCTGTAAACACTGCATGTTGTTAACAGATTTGTGTAAATGGGTGGTGTTCAGAAAGCTTTTATTGTTCCCAATTTTGATGTACCCTCAACCTGGAGCTAAGGAGAACCAATTTGGTTTAAGATACAGTGGTCTAGATGACATGTGCAATGGCAATTCTGTTTGTTTTATTCATTTTGAGTGAGCTAATCAAATACATTTCAACTTGCTTTCAGACTATATATGAAACGTAAGTGATTTTCATCTTTAGATGTGAGTCTTGTCTCCAAGATATCTCATCATGTACAGGCAGTCCTTGAGTTACAAAAATCCAACTTATAAATTGCTCATAGTTAAGAATGGGGATGAGACAACATGAGGTGAGGGAAATCTACCCATCGGAAGGGAAATTCACTCCTGAAAGAGTTCTCATGGGGAAAAAGTGTCTCCACTAAGCTTTGTCACCAATCCTTGTTTCCACAACAAGCAAAGTTTTCAAAATCCAATTGTTACAGGGACAGAAAGTGAAGTGAAATCTTTTGAAACAGGAGCACAGAAAGGAAAACAAACACCACAAACATGTTCCTATACTACCCAAGGCTAAAATATTTTTGACTAGTTACACTTAAAATGGGAATAGGAAGGACAAGAGATCTCTTCCAGAAAATTAGAAACATTAGGTAAATTTCAGGTGAAAGTGGGTGTCATAAAAAACAAAGATGGCAAGGACCTAACAGAAGCTGAAGAGATCAAGAGAAGGTGGAGAGACTATACAGAAGATCTGTATAGGAAGGATAATAATATCAAGGATAGTTTTGATGGTGTGGTGAGTGAATTAGAACCAGACATCCTGGGGAGTGAGGTTGAATGGGTCTTAAGAAGCATTGCTAAAATCAAGGCAGCAGGAGGCGGCGGGATCCCAGCTGAACTGTTTAAAATCTTGAAAGATGATGCTGTCAAAGTGATGCATGCCATATGCCAGCAAATATGGAAAACACAAGAATGGCCATCAGACTGGAGGAAAGTTCTGAGAGTACCTTAGACCGCCAGAAGATCCAACCAGTCCATACTTCAGGAAATAAAGCCCAGTTGCTCACTGGAGGGAAGGATATTAGAGGCAAAGATGAAGTACTTTGGCCACATCATGAGAATACAGGAAAGCTTAGAGAAGACAATTATGTTGGGAAAATGGAAGGAAAAAGAAAGAGGGGCCAAACAAGAGTAAGGCGGATGGATGGTATCATTGAAGTGACTGGCTTGATCTTGAAGGTGCTGGGGGTGGTGACAGCTGACAGGGAGCTCTGGTGTGGGCTGGTCCATGAGGTCATGAAGATTCGGAAGCGACTGAACGAATAAATGTACCTTTTCCAACTTATAAACAAATTCAACTTAAGAACAAATCTACAGAACCTATCTTGTTTCTCACCAGGATTGTGGCGCAGCTGGCTGAGTGTCAGCTGCATTAAGATCACTCTGACCAGAAGGTCATGGGTTCGAAGACAGCCCGGGTCAGAGTGAGTGTCCGACCAATTGTGTAGCTTGTTGTCGACCTTTGCAAACTGAAAGACAGTTGCATCTGTCAAGTAGGAAAATTAGGTACCACCTATGTGTGGGGAGGCTAATTGAACTAATTTATGAGGCCATAAAAAGACTACAGCAAAAAGCACTCCAGCAAAAGCATGCGGGGAATGCAGAAGTACTTCATCAGTGTCACAGATGGACGATGAAAGTGACAGATTCCCTGGCGGCCAGAAAAGTTAAATAGCCTCTGTGTATGTCTATATACATTGTATGTCTAATTGGCATTGAATGTTTGCCATATATGTGTACATTGTAATCTGCCCTGAGTCCCCTGCAGGGTGAGAAGGGTAGAATATAAATGCTGTAATTAAATAATTTGGGGACTGCATGTACATGCAATTATTCTAAAAAAAATTGGGTGGTGAGAATTTGAAATCCAATATATTTTGGATAGGTTATATTAAATCTGCATTATCATTTAAAAATAATGTATGCAGAAAAAAAAACCTCTAATGTAGGCTCAACCACTATTGTATATTCCAAATAGAAACAAAAACTATCCTTCCCAAAGTCCCATCTTTTCTCACATAGAAAGGTGGGGGGGGGGGGGGACAATACTACCATCTCTCTATATTTCTCAGTAATTAGAGATGACAATTGGCTCTCTTTCTTCACCATACCAATTAGGAAAGGGACCAAGGAATGTGAATCCTCATGTTATCTCTGATAATAATTTATTAAAACCTGAAGGTTTTGTTTATACTTTAAGGCTGTATTCAGAGACTTTTTGTACATTGTGAGGAAATGAATTCTAAACCTTTCGGTGCATAGAGAACCTGGAGATAACTATTTGGTAGGGCCTGGCATTAGGGGAAGGTGGATCAAAGAGGAGCAGAGCCCCACACTCTAACATCTTTGGGATATATGGTTTGTCCCTTGGGGAAAATCCAAACTTTGGGAGCAAAATAGTTTCCCACACCTAGACTAAAACCTATCCATGCACATGGTATTTCTTTTGGAATTTTCCCTTGCATACACTTTTGAAGTATGGTCATGTTGTAAAATGCATAGCAAGCTCAGAAGGATGTGGATTCCTAGCAACCAAATAATAAAGATTGAGTATCCCTTATCTGAAAGGCTTGGAACCAGAAGTTTTCTGTATTTTATTTATTTCATTTTTGAGGGATTTTGAAACATTTGGACACACACAAAGAGACATCTTGGAGATGGTACTCAAGTCTAAATTTGAAATTCATTTATGTTTCATATACATTTTCTACACTGAACCTGAATGTAAGTTTAAAAAATTATTTATAATTATTATTTTTAATAATTACTGAGACATCAAAAAGCAAGAATGTCACTATCTCAGCCATTCATGTGGACAATTTTGGATTTTTGAATATTTTAGAATTCTTGATAAGATGTGCTAAACCTGTAATTGGTTCTGTATTTGGATCTAGGATCTCTGAATTAGAGAAATCTGTTTTAAAATATGGCTCACAGGATTCCCTCCCATACATCCACTTTCTTTCCTTCACAGTTTTAATTATTTTTTCCACTCCAATTGAGCAATTTAGTTTTCATATTTCAAATAAAGTTTTAAAACATCAACTATTTCAAGACAGATCATTGTTTTTTTCTCTTGGCTATCTATAGTTTCATTTAAGCAGGCATCTAGAAAATTATAGATAAATTTGAAAGTGTTGATTTTTGTGTTCATCTTTAAACAAGGAACACCTACAAAAGTTTTACCGCTTGGGCTCATGTTCACACCTTGTTACGTTTGCCTCTACTTCCTCTTATTCCCTGTAGGCTTGGAATTTCACTTTCCTTGGTGATAAATGCTTGCTTATTTTGAATTTCCTTGGTAATTATTGGCATCATAAAAATCTATGTCATCATATGGATATATAATAGGATGGATCCTCATGTATAAGTGCTTTTTTCTTTATAAGAATCATGTGAAGAAAACAGGCAAATGGTATAAAGTGTTTTTTTTTAAAAAAAGCAGAAAATGTAAAAGCTTTTCTTCATAAATTGCAGTGATAAACTATTTTCCAATCCAGATCATGGGATAATGAGGAAAAGATAACATATTAGAAAGATATAATGCATGGGCGGTAATGATCTGCTGAAACCACCAAGAAAAACAAATTGGTGCCATTACAGCTGTTTAAAGCAAATTGTTCAAGTGGTAAACACAATGATCCATCTGATGTTGTCAGCTAGGCTAGCAAAACTGAGAACTGCTATTGTAAAACTGAAGCTGAAGAAAGGCTGATCTGTGGATGTACAATTGATGTTTACTGAAATGACGACTACTAGCCTGTGCTAAAAATTAAGATGCATCCCATTTACAAATAAGCAAAAGAAAAGCCTACCATTATTCTGTATAAGCTTATGAAAGGATTTGGTGCCATCACTAAGTATTAAGGAGCTTATTTACACAGTCAGCTTATTGGGCTACTTACTGATCCCAGCATTATCTATTAAAATACACAGTATCATTCTTCAGAGTTTACCACACATATCTCTCCCAAAGCTGCCATTTAAGTTGACTGATATTAGACCTCTGCTACCCTGGTGATTCCATATTGGCTCATGTTGGCCCCTCATTGGTCTGTTCAAGAAACTATTGCCCACTAACCTATCTTCTCTCTAGGACCGATCTACAGAAGTATTCACAGGTGGACCTTAGAGGAAGTGGAGATATGGATTCCTCCATCACTTTACTCTTTTTTTTTCCCTTACAGGAACAAAGAACATAGGTGAAATGACAATGGTAGCAAAGAGGAAGTACAACTCAACCAGGAAGCTCCAGACAGCGGTAGTCAGATGCCCTCCAATGGTGTGAATCCTCATAGATGTTCACTGAATCCTACTTCTCATTACAACAGTAAGAAGCCTGAATACCTCTGTATTTCTAACATGTGCTTCTGTGCATCGGACTCAGTATATGCATAGTGTTGTTAACTGCTATCAACTTCATCTTATGATGACCTAATGAATATACTAGTAAATTGTTCCTGCTGACATCAAATCTGGAATCTTTGCTTAAGCAGACTACACAAATTTAACTAAATTTAGTTAAAATTTAGCTAAATGTTGAAAGCACATAGATGTGCAATTCAACTGCACATGTATCCCCAATAGTTGAAAGATGAATTTTCAAGGGAAATATTCCTGTTACAATAATATCAACAATAGCAATAGCACTTTGCATGTTTTAACAAAAACTTTGTGAAAACAACTTTGCTTGTCTTTGGAGACAGATAAGAGGTCAGTGCCTGCAGCAGAAGGCTTCAGTGAGAAAGGCAGTCAGGGGAAGGTATTATTTTCCAAGTTCCCACACCAATAGTCTGCTACTTTCAGGCAGTTCTCATTTGAATGGTTCTCTTTTGCTGAAACATACATAATCACTTCTATAATTGCATAATGTTCATGATGAAAGTCCAGATAACCCCAGAAGAGTGCAAAATACAGCTTTGTAGAACCATGTTTGTGTGTGAGAGAGAGACGGGGGAGGAGACTCATTACAACAATGCTATGTTGGTGAGAAAATCCATTTCTTGAAACTACTATGAATTTATATGGACCAATGAATCCTCAGATGGGAGGATTGTCCCTCTGTCCCTTTTCATTTAAAAAGTCCTGGTGTCCACTAATCGCTCATATAAACTGTGGTAATTCATAAACAAAAGTGGGTTCTAAACTCAGAAGTTCAACTCAGTAAAATTGGAACACTGAACCTCTTTTGTAACTATGATGTTTATTGTTTATTGTTTGCATTTTCGGTTTGTGTTCGGTTGTTCTTTATTGTAATTGTTGTTTGGGCTTGGCCTCATGTAAGCCGCTCCGAGTCCCCATCGGGGAGATGGTGGCGGGGTACAAATAAATTTTATATTATTATTATTGTTGTTGTTGTTGTTGTTGTTGTTGTTGTTGTTGTTGTTGTTGTTGTTATTATTATCAACATATTCTGTGAAATAGGCCTAAATCCAGTTACTACACGCAGCAACAAAAGAACAATTGGAGCAATTACCAACAGAAAAATAAAATGTATACAAATTCCATGGCTTTTCTTGTTCTGTTTTTAGCTTGGAATGACAGTTACATTTACATCATAATGTACTTTGTTAACCTATTAGTTCTATTACAATTCAGCTGTAAACACAAACATATTTCTGAGAATTCTCAGAACTCTTCTTTTGACCTTACCAAGCAATTTTGAAGGGACAGCGAGTGGCATGTTATAATGGCCCAATTAAGATATTTTTCCCTTACCATTGACCTCATAATACAAATGGTTGGTGCCTGATGATGAGAACAATGTGTGCAGGACATGATTATCATGATAAGATTAGTAAATAGATTTTATCCTATTATTCTTGAATTTAGCAATTGGAACAGTGTGTGTATGATATTCATGGCCAAAAAATACATTCTACAAAGTCACAAAAGAATCAAGTCAATGAATACATTTTCCTGCCTAAAAATTCTGGATTACACATTGAGATCAACTAGATTGAGATGGGCAATTGAGATCCAATTTTTGCCTACACACCCCATGTTACACTTCACAAGTTCTAATATTTCCAATTCCCACTGAAGTCCCTCTCGAAATGGCACTTTGAGGTGAGATTTCACTGCTTCCTGTCAGCATTTTGAGAGACACTGTGATAAAACTTGGGTGGAGATGTTGTATGTTATCATACTATAGAACTATTTTTGATAATGGGGACTTCAGTGACCACAAAAGTGGAGACAGGTTACATGACAAACTGTCTCCCCTATTCCTGCATTAGGCCCAGTTCAACAAATATATTCCAACTAACTGGTATTCATAATTAAACATGAATAGAATGCTTCTGCAAGCATGATACTCAATTGTTTTACTTCTTGTTGCTTCTTTTTTAAAACATGCAGGTTTGATGAGACCAATGTAGAGCTTAACACTACTGTTCTCCCTTTCCCCATGCCTGGTTTAAAGGAAGCAGATGTTGTGCTCAGTGTTAACTTTATATTGATTTAGTCCCCATAAGAAATGAAGAACCTCTATGGCAATAGACTATATCCTGTGCACATCAGTCCTAAACAAAATGTGATTCTGGACAGCACAACTAAGTCACTGCCTGGGAGAAAACCTCTCTGATAGCCTCCTAGGACAGAGAATAGGAGGATGTTATGATTAGGTAGAAAGCACCAAAATATTTCACGTGGGATGGAAAAGAGTTACATACTATTTAAGACTTGACTGCCCCCTCATGTGCCACTTCAGTCCTAAAGTGGCGTACCCTCCTGCCCTCAGTGCATGCGAGCTTCAGAACCGAGAAGAAATTTTCTCACTCTACACATTTTTTTGCCTATCACATACTGTATCTGAGGGACTTGAACAATGATCTTGCATGGCGTCTAAAACAGATTGTCAATGAGCAGGTAACATGGGAGAAATTAAAATGTTGATGCTCATCTTGGCAACGATTTGATCATAAGGTATTGCTCTAGAACCACCTCTGCAGATCACACAACTTGGGAGGTTCAGGAAAGAGTATACCGGCAATCCCTGAGTTACAAACATACTACTTACAAAAGACTCATTGTTAAGAACAAAGGTGAGACAACAGGAAGTGGGAGAAATCTACACTTAAAAGGAGAAATTCACTCCTGAAAGAGTTATCATTTGGAAAAAGTGTCTTCACTGAAGCTGTATCACCAGTCCTTGTTTCCACAATATGCCATTTTTTCAAAATGTACCTGTTCTGACTTACATAGAAATTAAACTTAAGAACAAAACTACAGACTCTATCTTGTCTGTAACTTGGGGACTGCTTCTACTCTTAAGGCAAACTTAGGAAAAATTCACTCTCACTTGCAGCTAAACATGCATTATATTGCTCTATCTCTTGCTACTTTCAGTGCCCGAAACAAAATAAATAAGATGTACACTAAATAAAATGGCCCTTATTTTAATCCTGATCTTTGTGTCTTGTCTTGCTATTCCCAGGTTGCTGATCAATGATTGGTTAACAGTGATTAAAATAAAAGATTCACCAGTAATTTGGGTCTAGTTTGCCTCCTTCATATTCCTTATATTCTCTTTATGTTTTGCTTCTAATGCTCTCGTGTTGATTGTTCCATGCAATAAGCATCTGTTTCCATTTCCTCTGCAACATAAAAGAACCAACCAGCCTAAGGGGGCCTACCAGCCAAAAAGCATCCTTTTTGTAGTCCATCTGTCTGTGTACTGCAGTGTTTGAAGTAGTAACAATGTTGGAGAACTGTGATTCCTTTTAGCCATTTTATGTATTTTAGCATGTTAGGCCCAAACTTCATAGGGTGTTAAATATGTTTTTGTGCAAACGTGTACTTTCTAATAATGGAAATTGTATTGATGGGTGTGTGCAAACTGATAATTAAGTAGTTTGTAATAGACACAACATGGAATATTAAATCTTGATTATTGAGGAAAATGCTTCTTTTGAATATAGTATTTACTAGTCCTGTACAATCAATGAAAAAAAATTCAATACTCATTACAAAATTAGGCGTGGTGCAGAGAATAGTTTCTAAAGAGTTTATAAAATATCATTAGGGTCTGTATCATAACTATAACAATAGAATGAATTCTTCATTACTTTTCATTAAGTAATTGTGCAAGGAAGGGTGTCCAACCTCCTTCTGCCAGACAGGAAAAGCACAGTCAAACCACCCCCCAACAGATGCCCATTCAGCCTTTGAAATAATACTAACAATGATAATAGGAAACCTACTAGGTAAATTTTATAGTTGCTGCCTCTCAACTTTGCCTATCGCACAGGGTTGATTCAACTCCCAACAATCCCCTTTTCTCTCAAAATCTCTTTAGAGTACGAATATGAGGTTTCCCTGACAAAACTTTCAGGGAGGAAGAAGAGGAGGAGTAGGACGCACAAGGTGGTAAGCAGAATCTGGAAAATGTAGTTTAGGAAGGCGAGGACCCCGTGGCAAAAAATTCAAAACTACATTTCCCACAATTCTGCCCACTTCCTGTGTTAAAACCTCAATGCAACTGTGGCCTCTGCCCCTCTCTCTGGGCCAGCCATGCCTGAGGGCCTTTTTCCTTGCCTGGTCATCCAGTTAGGCATCCCTTGCTCCTTTCCCCACTACTTTGGGAAAAGAGTGGGGCTTCTCCCTCCACTCCAGCCTCACCTTCCTCCTCAGAGGCCTGTGAGGGAATCAAACTCAGTCCTTTTGGAGGAGAAGCGACACTTGCAATGGAGACCTGGGGGCATTTATGAGACTTACATAACTCATCCAAAAGTTTTTTTGTATGGGGCCCCCTAGTGTTTCTTAATATTGAGTCATATGTACAAATCTTATGAAATAGATCCAGATAATGAATTACAAATATTTTGCACACCCCTAGTATTTACTATGGTAACATATCAGTGATTAGCACAAATCTTTTAAAAGCCTACATGTTATATGCAAAGTAAGTTTTAATTTCATTTACAATTGTGCCTAATGATTTGTCAGTTTTGCCTTCTGAATTCATTTTCAAAAAATCCCATGTTGTTTTCATCAAATTTATATGGAAATGTTTCTAATTTTGGATGGTTCACAGCAGAAAAAAGTAGATGAATATCATATTCATTGGCACAGGACAGAGTCAGTACACACATATATTCAGGGGCAGCTCAACCATTACGCAAAGTAAGACTTCGAAGTATAGTTGATTTTGCCCAGGGGCGCTCTTGAGGCGCTCTTGGGAGGAAATAGACCTTGACATATGTGAGTTGTAGTTACTGGGATGTATAGTTCACCTACAATCAAAGAGCATTCTGGACTTCACCAATGATGGAACTGAACCAAATATGGCACACAGAACTCCCATAACGAACAGAAAATATATATCAG